AGCTTGGATCAGATTCTACTTATGCTTTTAATTCTGTTTTTGTTTTAGCTAATAATGTGTTATGGCATGCTAGATTAGGCCACCCTCATTTCAATGCTTTAAAATTAATGTTACCTAGTTTATCTTTGCAAAATGAAACTTGTGAGGCATGCATTCTTGGTAAACACCATAAATCTGTATTTCCCTCATCTATGACTATTTATGAGAACTGCTTTGATGTAGTACACTCTGATGTTTGGACAGCCCCATGTGCTTCTAGAGAAAATCATAAATATTTTGTAACCTTCATAGATGAGAAATCGAAATACACATGGCTCACACTGATTCAAAGTAAAGATAGAATTTTAGAAGCTTTTATAAACTTCTAAAACTATGTGGCTAACAATTTTAATTCTAAGATCAAAATTGTTAGGTCAGATAAAGGAGGGGAGTACACTAGCCATGCCTTCAAACAACACTTACAAAACATGGGATCACTCATCAAACAAGCTGCCCTTACACACCACAACAAAATGGAGTGCCTGAGAGGAAGAATAAGCATCTTATGGAGGTTGCAAGAAGCATGATGTTCCACACCAATGTTCCAAAGCAATTTTGGGGAAATGCTGTGGTCTCTGCATGCTATCTTATCAATAGAATCCCAACCAAAGTCCTTAAAGATGCCTCGCCATTTCAGGTATTAAATAAGACTAAGCCTCCTATAGATCATTTGCGTGTGTTTGGGTGTGTGTGTTTTGTGTTGGTTCCAGGAGAACAAAGGAACAAGCTTGAACCTAAGAGTATCAAAGCCATGTTCATTGGATACTCACACACGCATAAGGGATATAAGTGTTAACTACCAGATTCAAGAAGGGTGATGGTATCCAGGGATGTGAAGTTTGTAGAATCCAAGAGATACTATGATGAGAAGAATTGGGAAGACCTTAAAGATCTCTCACATGGACCATCAGATAGAGCAAACAACCTGAGAACCATTATGGAGAGCCTTGGCATCACTCAGCAGGGGCCATGAAGAATATTGTACCTCTCCATTGCCACCAGATGCTGTAGAAGAACCAAGCCTTGAGCCAGTCCATTCTGATCCTGAGGGGGGCAGTGAGCATGAATCATTACCAGAAAATGATTTAGCATCAACACATGATCAAGATGGAGCTGAAAATGATTCAGGTTCTGCACCAACACATGATGATGTTAGTGGAGATCAAGGGCAGGAAGGACCAATGGTAGAAGAGCAGACTCAGCAGCTAAGAAGGAGTACTAGAGTGAGGAACACCAGAGTATTCTTTAACAGCAATGCAGTGGCTCATCCTATCCAAGCAACCTGCACTCTTGTAAGATATCCACAAGAGCATATGGTCTTCATCACCAACTTGGATCAAGATTATGTTCCAAAGACCTATAAGAAGCTATGGAGCATGATGAATGGAAAGAATCTGTTGGAGATGAAATTGGGGCTATGATCAAGAATGATACTTGGTATGAAACTGAGGTCCCCAGAGGCAAGAAAGCTATGACAAGTCGCCTGTTGTATACTATTAAGTATGGAGCTAATGGGAAACCCGAAAGGAAGAAGACAAGGCTTGTTGCAAGTGGATATACTCAAGTCTATGGTGCGGACTATCTAGACACATTTGCACCAGTAGCCAAGCTCCATACCATCAGGATTCTGCTCTCTCTAGCTGTGAATCTTGAATAGGATCTATGGCAAATGGATGTAAAGAATGCATTCTTGCAAGGAGAACTAGAAGATGAAATGTATATGAGACCACCTCCTGGTAGAGAAGATATGGTTAAACCAGGGAATGTTCTTAGATTGAAGAAAGCAATCTATGGCTTGAAACAATCATCAAGAGCCTGGTATCACAAGCTGAGTACAACACTCAATGGGAAAGGATTTGTGAAGTCTCAAGCTAGTCACACTCTTTTCACACTGACCAGCAAGCAAGAGATAGTGGTAATTTTTGTCTATGTGGATGACATTATTATCAATTGTAGTAATAAGGAAGGAATCATCTCAACCAAGTTATTCCTCAAGGCTGCATTTGATATAAAAGATCTAGGAGAGCTGAGATACTTTCTTGGCATTGAGATGTGTAGATAAAAGGAGGGACTGTTCCTATCTCAAAGAAAATATACTCTAGATATTTTAAAGGAGGCAGGAGACCTTGGAGGAAAGAAAGCCAAGACACCATTGGAAGAGAACTACAAGGTATTGCGTGAGGGGGAGTATGAGAACACTCCATTTGAAGACGTCAAGAGGTATAGGAGGATGGTTGGGAAGCTGATTTACTTAACCATTACAAGACCAGATGTGTGTTTTGCTGTGAATCAAGTTAGCCAGCATATGCAAACACCTAAGATTCATCACTGGAACATGGTGGAGAGGATCCTAAGATACTTATGGGAAGCTCCTGGTCAAGGCGTATGGATGGCGTGTAACAAAAGCACTGAGATTGTTGGCTATTGTGATGCTGATTGGGCTGGAGATAGAGTTGATAGGAGATCAACTACTGGATATTGCACATTTATTGGAGGTAACTTAGTGACATGGAAGAGCAAGAAGCAAAATGTGGTGTCTTGTTCAAGTGCTGAGGCTGAATATAGGGCAATGAGGAAACAGACCAGCGAACTTATATGGATCAAGGGACTGCTGAAAGACTTAGGTATAGAGATCACTACACCCATGACCATACACTGTGACAACCAGGCAGCCATTCACATTGCAACCAACTCAGTGTTTCATGAGAGAACAAAGCACACAGAAGTGGATTGTCACAAGGTGAGACAAGCAATGGATAAGCAAATAATACTCTCATGTTACACTAGAAGTGAAGATCATCTGGCTGATATATTGACAAAGGCAGCAAGCACTAAGGTTTGTGAGTCCATCCTTCCAAGGTTAGGACTCATAGATCTCTCATGTCACTGATCTCTCCTCCATGAAGTGATCTACTCTTTTTCCTTGGCTTATGTTTTATCCCATTGGGTTTTACTTAGCTAAGGTTTTAATGAGGGATTGCTTCATGGCTTCCAAGCCTGACTTGTTCTACATGGTCAAGCTTGAGGGGGAGTGTTGACATGAAGGAATTACTAAGATAAAAATAAGGTGACCATTGGTGCAAGCGTGACCATAAAGAGCTTGACCATATGGTCAACTACAAATAAGATGACCATTGGTGCAAGCGTGACCATGAAGAGCTTGACTATATGGTCCACTTTAAATACAATGACCATTGGTACAAGCGTGACCATGACGGAAGGAGAGCGATGGTACAAGCTTGACCATATGGTCAACTACATATACGATGACCATGGGTGCAAAGCTTGACCATGATAGAAGGAGATCTTGACCATATGGGAAATTCAAATGTTCTACTTTTGTCATTCCCCACATGCATTTGACCGTTGTGTACCAATTTGCATTATTTTAATTATTTTTTATTTTAGGCATCTTGCCTATTTATTTTGCTGTAAGGCACATTAAATTAATTAAGAAAAATAGAATCCTTCTTATCTCTCTCTTTCTCTCAAATTATGTCTCTCTTGTTCTTCACTTTGTTCATCACTTTATTCTTCAATTTCTTACATTTCTTCGCTATCGTACGCTTAAATCTGTCACATTCTGTTACGCTATCTTACTTTCCACCTAGTCTCGTTAACCTACGCCAGCATGTCATTACCCTTATATTTTCCACATCATTTCAAGATTTATTTATTTTCTGCCAACTTGCTAATGTGATTTCCTTGGTTGTCTTTATCAAAACAAGTGTCAGTGACATCCCACTTTTTCATCCACCAAAATACAACTTTCAGTTTCATTTTACATTATTCTTTTTTAGAAATCTTATTTCCGAGCAAGTCTACTAATTTAACAAAAAGTTCACAAATTCAATATACATGTATATATCTCCTTTTGTCAACTAATTTAAAATATTTTACATTATATAACCATAAAACACTATAATTTAACATATATTTATATCAAAATCATGGCTAATGTATTATGCATATTTCATATAGTATTAGAATTCTAACCATTTATCTATTTTCGTCTTCGTCTTTCTCATTTTCCTTATTTTTATTCATCTCATTTCATTTGATATTTATTTTTACACCAATGTGATTAAGTTAAGTAGAAAAACATACTCATTTTTCGACATGCCATATTAAAAAAAAATATAATAAGACATAAAATTCTCACACAATCTGTAAATTTTTCTTACTAATTCTTTTTATATTAGTTTAATACTTAGATAGTCATATTTATAAACTCAATATAATGTTAGGCAATTCTGAATTTTTAAAATGAAATCATGGTTCATGAACAATTTCATATTTATAGAAAAAAACATATTAAAACTTCTTTCTACTTAAAATATATAACTATATCACATCTTAAACTTACCATCTCCGCGTCTAGTATTTAGATCTAGAAAGTCATTGCGATCATCACGATTATAAAAAAACATCCACACCAATTTGCCAAATATTGTTGTATTGATTACTTCATATATGTATGTCTTTTTATTTTATCAGCTACATAACACGCCATTGTTATAAATTTTTAGGTAATCTACATCTCATTCTCATATAGGCAGACTATAAGAATTTGATAGATCATATGTTTCGTTTTTAAACCAAACAAAACAGAAAAGAAACACTGAAATTTTTTATAAAATATTAACTAAACATTTATCAGTTACAATTAGTCAAAAATTATCAGTTACCAATAGCTGTTATAATAAATTTTTCACAATACACACGTGGCAGCTAAATGAAAGTTTAAGTAAGTTGTCGGTTGGGCCCAGACCAGCATAAACAGTTAAAATAAGATGTCAAATAGTCAGAGCCAGAACACAGAAAAGGAAAAGGCTGAAATATTTAAACCGAATCCAATTCTCCATGTTTAAAATAGTGAAAAAGATATACGTGTTGCTTTTGTTGAAAGAAAAGCACACAGACAAACACATGTTCTTCTTTGTAGCTTCCTTTGGTTAAAGAAGTCAAAGCTCCAAAAAAAGGTTTCTTCCTTCTTTCGATGGCTTGATCATCTCTTTCCAGATCTGTACGTTCTAGGTATGTTCTTTGTGTTCGTTCGTAAGTGTTTTGATTCCTCCTGAAGATTGAACAGGATTGCTCCTAGCTTGTTTTCTTTGATCCAAGAGTAGAGAATAGAGTTATTAGGTTTTGTTTTCAAAACTCTATCATCTGCTAACCAAAAATTGAAATCTTTCTCACCTTTTGTTATTTGGAGTAACATTAAAAAGACATTTCTGGATTTGCAAGATTGATAAACAGTATGAACCAAATATAAGCTGATTTTTTTTTCTAATATACTGTTAGGTTACGTTCTTGATGTACTAATGTAAGTGGTATTTGCTGTATTCAGCAGCAATGGAGAATCTACCTCCTCCTGGTTATCGTCCCAATGTTGGTGTTTGTCTAATCAATTCTGATAATTTGGTAACACTATTTTCAACCATCTCATTCAGCTATCTGGTTAAATTACAGTTTGGCCACTGGTTTGTAAAACCAAGTTTATTTTGTGCCCATTGATTATCTATGATTCACAGGTATTTGTAGCTTCAAGATTGAATGTTCCTGGAGCATGGCAAATGCCACAGGTGTGCTTAAATCATTTCACTTAGCATATGACGGGTATAGGATTATGGAAAGTGTGTCTTATTATTAGAGTCTAAGAAGACTATATATACACGTACAGGAGAGTTAGACTAGGTTAATATATTTACAAAGTAGTCCTTATAGTTCTAGTAATCTATGTACATCCTATACGCCCCCTCAAGATGGAGGGGCTAGAGCCACACCAATCTTGTGACAAGCATTTTGAAACTGACTTCTCGGTAGGGGTTTTGTGAGGGTGTCTGCCAGTTGATCGCGTGTGGAGACGTGTGCTACTCTGAGGTGTCCAGCTTGGATCATATTGCGAGTGAAGTGGTAGTCCAATGCAATATGTTTCATCCTGGAATGGAAGACGGGATTAGCACATAGGTAAGTCGCGCCAACGTTGTCACAGTAGATGATTGGAGGGTGAGGAAGGTCTATACGCAGCTCGGACAACAATGAACACAACCATGTAACTTCTGCAGCCGTATTTGCAACTGCCCGGTACTCAGCTTCTGTCGAAGATCTAGCAATGCCTTTTTGTTTCTTTGAGGACCATGATATGGGGTTTTTCCCAAAGTAGATAATGTACCCATTTGTGGAGACATAATCATCAGTATCACCGGCCCAATCTGCATCTGAGAAAGCGTGGAGTGTCTGCGGTGAGTTCTTGTGTAGACAAATCCCATTAGTAGCTGTTCCAGCTAGATAACGAAGAACACGTTTAGCCGCTTGCCAGTGATCTTCAGTGGGTTGATGCATGTACTGTGATAGTCTTGTGACAGCGTAGGATATATCAGGGCGAGTGAAAGCTAGGTAATGAAGGCTTCCAACTAGTGAACGATATTGAGAACCATCAGTTAGCGGTGTACCTCCACGGAGTGAGAGCTTCGGTTGAGCAGGAAGTGGTGTAGACACAGGTTTAGCGGTTGTCATGTTGAATTTGTTGAGAAGGTCTCTGATGTATTTGTGTTGCATCAGATGCATTCCTTGAGGTGTACGCTTTGCTTCTATCCCAAGGAAGTAATGTAGATCCATAGGATCTTTGATTGAGAAGCGCTCTGCAAAGGAACTAAGAACTTGTTGAACAAAGCGAGTATCATTCCCTGTAACTAGTATATCATCAACATATACTAGTACATATGTGAGGGTCTGAGCCGTGCAATGAACAAATAGAGAAGCATCTGCATGAGAGTTAATGAAACCAGTCTGAAGTAGATGCTGTTTGAGAGACAAGTACCATGATCTAGGAGCTTGTTTGAGACCGTATATGGGTTTGCGGAGACGACACACATGAGTTGGTTTATCTTTGTCTACAAAACCAGGAGGTTGCATCATATAGACGAGTTCTGTCAAGTCCCCCTGCAAGAAAGCATTGTTAATGTCGAGTTGCTTTATGGGCCACGCCTTTGTCACCGCAATTTGTAGAACGAGTCGGATTGTCGTGGATTTGATAACCGGACTGAACGTGTCAGAGTAATCTATACCATATTGCTGTGTGTAACCTTTTGCAACTAGACGACCTTTTGGACGTTCTTCACAGCCATTAGATAGGTATTTAGTTGTGAAAATCCAGCGACAGCCTATAACGTTCTGTCCTTCGTGTGGTGGTTCTAAGTCCCATGTACGGTTGAGAACATGCGCATCAAATTATTAGAGTCTAAGAAGACTATATATACACGTACAGGAGAGTTAGACTAGGTTAATATATTTACAAAGTAGTCCTTATAGTTCTAGTAATCTATGTACATCCTATAACGGGTGTTTAACACCACTTTAATGGAAAAGCTGACCAAGAACTTGATACAGAATCTTGAGAAAATGTTTCAAGATTAGTTAATTGATCACCAGTTTGAAGTATTGAAAGAGTCTGTTTCTCTGTTTTCAGATCATCTTTAAAAAAGTCATTGAAATTATTACAGGGAGGCATTGAAGACGGAGAGGATCCAAAGTCAGCAGCCATGAGAGAGTTGCAAGAAGAAACTGGAGTCGTTTCAGCTGCAATCATCGCTGAGGTCTCTAACTCTTTTACTAAATACAATACATATGAATATGATTATGAAGCAGAGCCAATTTACCAGTGATATTCACTCTGTCTTCCTTAATGGTTCTTAAAAACAGGTTTCAAATTGGTTGACATGATTTCCCACCTGCAGTAAAAGCAAAAGTTAACCGTCTCTGGGGTGGTGAATGGCATGGTCAAGCGCAGAAATGGTGAGTTTTCCTTCAATACCACCAAAGGTGTTGTAATATGAACACAAGAAACGAGAATAAATAGAGATCATTGTTTCTGAAATCCACACAGGTTTCTGGTGAGACTGATAGACGACGAGGACGAAAGAGAGATCAATCTAGCGAACAACGAAGCAGCGGATTCAGAGTTTACGGAGTGGAAATGGACGAGACCGGTAGAAGTGGTAAAGCAAGCAGTTGATTACAAAAGGCCAACTTACGAACAAGTCATCAAGACTTTTGGTTCTCGCTTGAATGATACAGGGAGAGCTGCTAAATGTAAATCAGCAAAATGGTAATAAGACAAAGCCCATGTTTGTCTTTTTCTTTGTGTTCTTTTTTTTTTGTAAATTGGTCATTGGTACTAGAAGGTTTTGGTTTAACTTGGGGTTTACTGTAATAAAGTTTTTGTCTGGAGTCAGGAAAAAAGAATGACTTGTTCATGTCGTTGTAACTTATAACTAAGTGTAAAGAAAATTCATAGGTTAAAAATATTCTAAATAGTACATGTTTATATTCCCTAAATGTTTTATTCTTGTAACTCTAATATAATGCTCCCTATGTTTCTAAGAGATGTGTGTTGATGTGTTTTATACAAATTTAAGAAAACATAATAAACGATGATAATAAATATATTATTTTCTGTATTTACCGATTTTCTATAACTCTAAACTAATATTATTTAAAAAATTGCATTGAAAAATTCAAATTAGGTTTGGGTTCAATTACCCGTTACTTACCCCGTATTTGCTCTACAAACACAAGTATTTGTCATAATCAAGACAAGTAAAAACTTATAAAATTCAATTACTTGCAAATTCAAGCCAAGTATCAAATCTTAGATTTATTTTAACTGCTTGACTTGTTTAGATTCGTTACTTGATTTTCAAAATATTTTATAACATTTATATTGTTATTTCAGCTAATTTAATACTTATATTTTTTATATATTAAAGTACAAGTCACTTGACAAAATCAAATATCGACTAGTGAAAAATAATTTACAAAAACAAAAAAAATAATCAATTAAAGAAAACATTTTAACCCCCAAACTTTCAGCAATAAAGCATGCCCATTAGGGGATCTAAGGGAGGGTTCACACGTTTTTCGAGAGGAACAGTGATGAATCCGGAATCCGGCGCGCGTTCGCCACGGATTCGCCACGTGGCGGGCTGTGATTCGTCAAAACTTTTTTTTTTCGAAAAAGTAAAAAAAAAAAAATTATTTTTTTTCCTGTGAACCTCTCCCCGTGAGGTTCACTGATGGGGATGCTCTTACATTCACATTCAAAAAATAAACTGACCACGATTTCAAGATTTTTCCTTCTCATCAACAAAATTTACTTTTTTTTTTCTCTGTTATCAAACATGCAAAGCAGCAGATCATTTCATCTCTTATTAATCATCACATGGATTACTACTTAAAAGTTTGTGTTCGACAATTTTTTAGATCAAACAGTGGAATACAGTCATCTTTGAAACACTTTCAAAGCAACAGTTGGATTGGTTGTCGACTTTAAATTAAGTCGGGAAGAGATTGATACTGGTATGTGAAGAGATTCTGAGGATCTAAGGATTTTGTTTTTGCAGGGCTTCTAGAAAAACAGAGTAAGGTGTGTAATGAGTTCATATTTTTTTCTTCTGAAAATCAGAGTATACAATATAGCATAAAAGTTCGTATTGTTCAGTTTTTAAATTATTTTTGCTTACTACAGACTTTTTTTTTCCTATTACAGATTTGTATGAGAAATAAATGCATATTCAAAAATAACATACGAGGGATCTAAAAATTTTTGGACAGATGTACTCTACAATGGGGAAGGTTGAAGACAATGGATTACGAAGGTGATGTACAACATTTGAAATTTTAGATTGTAAAGTGAAATAAATATTTACATTATAGTCTTTCAAATTAGGGTCATTTAACATGTTTACAAAATGACATTTAACATCTACACCCAAAAATTAGGACCTTGATCGTTGATGCTGAAAATTATTTTTGATCATTTAAGTGGTCGATGAGGGTTAGTCAAAATTTTGGGTTAAATCAAATATAATTTTTAGTTTTAAAATAATTTTCAAAACATTGTCATATAAATTGTTTCAGTACTTCTAGCCACTTCTAAACTTATGTATTAATATGTTATCTAGATTAGGAAAATATATAACTAAATAATAATTTATTTTGACAGTTAAGTTATTATCATTTTTTAATTTTATGATCAGATAGTTTAGAGGACACTAAAATTGATAGATGCGTAGCACCGGAATAATACTAGTGTAAAATATTTTAAATTCTGAAAATATAAAATTATGTATATAACATATGTAAAAGGAAGAAGAATAGGTTCTTGATGTCCGTAAGAGGGATTATAGTTTGTCATTTTCAAGCATATAAGACTAAATAATTATCTTATTTTAAACCAAACTCTACTCTACATTATCTCATATTGGTTGTAATTAGGGCTGGGCGCAAGGCAAATACTTGCTATTTTGCACGTACTTTCGACTTGACTTGCCTTGCATGAATAATAAAATTTTTGACTTGTACTTGACTTGTTAAAATCGAGTATTTGCTGTTTCGAGTACTTGATAAAAAAATGAATGACTTGCAAATTACTTGCCTTGTTCTATTACTTATTATTTACGAGTATTTGTGAATTATTTACGAGTATTTGTGAACTATTTACGAGCTTTCCAAAATATTTAAAAACTATTTACTAAATAATTATCTGTTAGAAATAGTCATCAAAGTTTATTTTGTTTATTCTACTTAAAGTAGTATGTAAATTACTTTAGAAAAATATTTGTTTATATTATAAAGAAGACAAATAAAAATATATGCATATTACGATATATAAATACTGTATAATTTTCACGATAAAAAAATGTCTTCTCTACATAAGTAATATGTAATAACAAATCATATAACTAGTTTTTTAATATTTTCTGCTATGTAATACTTGATTAGATGATGACGAGTATTTAAAAATCAAGATGGATGCGAAATAAGTATAAGAACAGTAATGATTATTTTTGTCTAATCCTAAATACAAGTAAAAGAAAATACAAATATGAATAAGTAATTAATAGATCATGTAACAAATAGCAAGTAATAGAGTAAGTAAGTTGGAGCAAGTAACGGGGCATAATGAGTCAAGTATCAAAAATAATAGTGATACTTGATACTTGACTTAGCCTTGCAAGTAATGAAAATTGTTGCCTTGTTACTTGCCTTGACAACACCGAATACTTGAATTTTTAAGGCAAGTACGAATCGAATAGCGAGTTTAAAGAGAGTAACAAATAATGATGCCCAGCCCTAGTTGTAATAGAGAAGTGAAACAATTTTTTTTTATTTAAAATAAAGACAATCACCTACTCTTAGAATCATCGAAATGAGATTTATTTTATAAAGGTCAAAGTACATAAGTATTACCTTATATAAACAAGTACAAGTCCAACGAATTACTCACAAGTATCATGAATATGGACAAGTACTTGTTTAACCAAGTACTTTACTGGTATTAACAAGTGCAAGTACAAAACAAAACAAGACAAGTCTTTTAATACTCGGAAGGGGCAAGTCAAGTTACAAGTATAGCAAACATTCCGGGTACTTGATCAGTGACCAACTAGTTCAAACATAATTTTTGAAACTAACTTTTATTTTAAAACATGTATCTTTTAGGAACATAAGGAGTATGAAAATAGATCTATTTTATTATTTGCATCATTAACATTCTTATATTCTTGTTGATGAACTGTTAAATCTTTGTTATCATTTCTTACGTTCATTCATCTGTTTTGTGCACTATGTCCAAATCCATTATACTAGTACTAAAACACAAATGGTCAAATCTTTGGTATCATTTATGTTTATTCGAAATTTGAATTAGAATAAGTAGTATAAGCTTATAGCTAAACGTAGGGAAAATTCTGAGGTTTTAAATGCGGGAGATAAATTAAGGAAGTTCCAAAACCATATTCAAAGACGCAACAAACATTTAACAAAAACAAACCACTTTGAAAAATTCATACGAACTAAGTTAAAGAGAAAGGAAACAGAGAGGTAAACGGTAAATAATGGTTCACCGGATATCAATATAAATTTCACTGGCAAAGCTGCTCGACAGCAGTCACTATCTGCGCCGGTTGAACTACAGTCCACTCTTCCAGAGTACCAGCATACGGTGTAGGAACGTCCTGAGAAGACAAACACATCACCGGAGCATCCAAATAGTCATGAAAGTTCTCATTAATAGCAGCGGTAAGACTAGCCCCAATCCCACCGGTTCTCATACACTCCTCCACTATCAAAACCCTGTGCGTTTTCTTCACCGAGTTCCCAATCGTGTAAAGATCAAACGGCTTCAGCGACCTGATGTCGATAACCTCAGGGTCATACCCTTTGTTCACCAGAGTTTTAGCTGCCTGCATCACATGGTACCTCATCCGCGAGTAAGTGAGGATGGTAATGTGCTCTCCAGGTCTCACCATCTCAGCTTCTTCAAGGTTACAGATGTATTCTTCGTCCGGGATCTTCTCTTTAAGATTGTAAAGCAGAACATGCTCAAAAAGAATCACAGGGTTCTCACTTCTTATCGCAGCTTTCATCAACCCTTTAGCATTGTAAGGAGTCGAGCAAGCAACCATCTGGATCCCAGGAATGGACTGGAAGTAAGATTCTAGCCGCTGTGAATGCTCAGCGCCAAGCTGGCGTCCCACTCCACCGGGACCACGGATGACGACTGGGATTGTGAACTGACCGCCAGATGTGTAGTGAAGCATTCCACAGTTGTTGGAGATTTGGTTGAAGGCTAAAAGGAGGAAACCCATGTTCATACCTTCAATGACGGGTCTTAGACCAGTCATGGCGGCTCCAATGCCCATACCAGTGAAGGCGTTTTCACAAATGGGAGTGTCGAGAACCCTGAGGTCGCCGAATTTATCAGCAAGGCCTTTGGTAACCTTGTAGGAGCCTCCGTAATGGCCAACGTCTTCACCCATGACGCATACATGTGGGTCTCTGTCCATCTCTTCTTCCAGACCTTCCTGAAGAGCCTCGAAAAGCAGTAGTTCATGTCTGCAGTTTATATGACAAAAAAATTGGTTATACCCTGTGTTGTGACGGAAAAGACATTAAGATTACATGTTTCTAGTGGTAGAGCAGGAAATATGATATTATTTGACAATACAGAAAATGGTTAGGTGAAATCAGTGGACTTGTGTGAATATGGAAACAAGTAAGAGTAGCACATAATAGATGAATAATAAGATGCTGGGATCTGTATTTGTAACACAACACTAATCAACTGCGGAAATGTTGTTCTGTTTATATATGGTTTGGGGTAAGCCATTACAGTAGAGCTAAAATTGTTCAAGGGGTTTAGCAGATAAATGTTTTGATGTAAAAAATAGTTCAAACTAGAAGCATCTTTGCTTGATCAACACAAACAATCAGATGACTAAAAAAAAAAGAATGCAATCATTACCAAGTATGAACTATGAAGAGAGAATTTGAAGGCAGGATGCACAAAAAGAATTAGCACAGGAGTAGTTAAAACTAGCTTCCTATTGACATGCAATCTATGTTTTTTTTTTTGTTTAAAAGCAAAAGGCATTTGTTATAGCAATAGATCCAATGGTAGAGTTGTTCAAAGCAAATATCTTAAATCATTCAATCAGATTCCAAATTGCAAAACTTACCCAGTGGTCGTCGCAGATGTGTCCGCCTTCGTCTACAAAAGGGGAAAAAAGCCTTAAATTGAATTGTAGATTTAAATAGAGAAAAACTCTAAACATAAAAAAATGGGAGACAAAAGAAGGCATACCGCGACAGCATTGGCAAACAATTTGTGAGAGTGACGAAGGGTGAGGAGGCTAGAAGAACCAAAGCTCTTACTCGCATCAGATCCAGCAGCGACAATGCATCTCTTTCTCCTCCCTGCATCAACTCCTAAGATCTCGCAAATTCCAGCACCAGGTAAGTAATTTAATCGCCAGAATCTAAATTTGAAATCGAAATCACAAAACTCGAACCTGGAAGACTCGTGCGAGATCGAGCAACGAGTTTCTTGGAATTTAACGTCGTCAAAGCCGTAGCAGCTCCAGTTCCTTGGATTATCGCTGACATTTCTTCCTTTTTTGCCAAATTTTTGGGAGTGCTGGACAGTTATATATAGCTATACTAATTACAAACTGTATATAAAACAGACACAATGAAGATGCAGCGACGCCGAGCGGAGAAATCGATGAATAAAATTTTTTTTTTTTTTTTTGGCCTAATTAATTTTTATAGTGTGCAATCAAATCCACATGTTTTTTTTTTTTTTTTGACATCAAACGGCTGATCTATTACTCAAACAACTTGAGGTGGTCTGGGAATCCAGACCAGGATAGAACAACCAACGAACACAAGTTTACGGTAAAAAGACCTAGCTTTTTTAGCTAGAGAATCAGAAACGCCGTTCTGTACTTTAGGAACATAAAAAATTTTAAATTCAGGAAAGCAGGTCTTCAGCGTCTCCAGTTGCTCCAGTTCTCCACATGTTTTACTTTGTTTACATCATTATCTCGCATATCTATTGTGAAAGAAACCAATACATGTATGACACGAGTTATTACCGGGATGTAGTCCCACGTGTGTACATCTGAACTGTGAAACGATGATTTCGCTTAACCACCTGAACCAAGCCTTTACTACATTTAAGTTTTCACTAAGAGCAAGATTATCGGCGTCCTAAGCCGAATATCTTAGCAATTAAATGGTGAAATTTAGTTAAGGACGCCGCTTAATTAAGAGTCTTTGGTGATCGTGCTAAAGAGACATGTGGCATGGTGTGAATGGATGATGATATTTCTCTATCTTCTTCTCCTTCTCCATATGAATTCGAAAAGTGAATCATGATCCATCCGAGAACTTACAGCAATTACCTATAAGAACAATTGCGTCTAGTGAAAGAAAATTGATGGAATTAACTTTTTTATTATGCTTAGCTTGTTTTGATATTCAGCCGTTTGTGTCGGGGTTTCAGATTAAGAAAAAAATAGGGTTTGGAGTGTTTCCGTAAAGTTGTTTGAATTAGTCTGCTAATTGCTTATCTTGCCCAATATATATTTGTTAAAATTTTAGACACTTTGTGTCACAACTAAGCTGAGCTAAGTTAGCGATAGTCCCCGATAGTTATGCAAACAACTAAGCTGAGCTAAGGGGTTGTGTGCGTGAATATTAAAGTAGTTAACGAACGAATGACCAAGTAATTGTTGTGGAGTTCTTACTCTTCCCCATATGTTGTTTTGCTATTTCTTTGATTTCTTTTGGACTAATCAATGTTATAGATCCGCATTAAGCAAATTTAGTTTCCGTCTCATGGGATAGCATGTCATCTTTTGGACTAATCAGTGTCAATTTCATTCCTGGACACTTGTATGTGTGTGTGTAATTTCCTGTTTTAATTCTGATGATTCGTTTTCTCTTTGGGTTGGTAGCTTACTGGAGAGATCATTCTTATTTACCGTGGTAACTGCAGTTTTACCACCAAAGGTAGCTGAAGCAGCTGGTGCCTCTGCCATCCTTATCATCAACAACAACACAAGTAATCCGTAGCTATTCCTTCCAATTAATAAGAAAATTCTAGTTATTCTCTTTGAGAATTTGCAAAGGTTGAATGTTGTAGTTTTGCAGATCTTTTCAAGATGGTATGTGAGAAGGGTGAAGACGTTTTAGATATCAGTATTCATGTCGTTATGCTCCCACTTGATGCTCTTTCAAGTCTCAGAAAATTTGATGACGCTAACGACACAGGTAAATCTTCCAACAGCAATTTATTCTCTTGTAGCATGCCTTATCCTTGTTTGTCACTTTTTCATCAGTGTTGTTGAATGTATCTGTTCAGTTACTTTACAGCTCTACTCACCGAAACGTCCTGCAGTTGATGTAGCTGAGGTCTTTCTCTGGCTTATGGCTGTTGGTACCATTCTTTGTGTTTCTTATTGGTCTGCCTGGACCGCTAGGGAAGAAGTCATTGAGCAAGACAAGCAGGACGGATCAGATGAACATTTGCTGGTATCAACCACAAGCTCTAGAAGTGTTGTTGACATCACCGTGATATCAACAATTTTGTTTGTGGTGGTTACTTCTTGTTTACTCATTATGTTTTACAAGCTTATGTCATTAAAATATACAATTAATTTACTAAGAAACAATAAAACGTCCTATCAATAATTTACAATTTTGAGATTGTCCTTAACTTTGTCTTTAACATAACAATAAAAATAAAAATAATCTAAAGACCCAAAATTAGTCCTACCAATAATGATGCTCTAGGTTTTGAGACAGATGGGCCTCAAATGTATCATGGCCCACTAATAAATAATACAGTTTATTAGGCATGCTTAGAATTATGAAGCCCGTCAAACAAAAGAAAGTAAGACTAGGATTATTTGATTCTAATTACAGTCCAATTTTGATTTGGTTTCTCAGTTCTTAAATTTTTTGCTTTACAAATATTATAGAGAAATTTCCTTTAGTTTATTTTCACAAAAAATATCTTTCAAATTAGAAAATGATCAAAAAAAGTTTTATTGAACGGAAATATATTTTTGTATTCTTAGATTTAACTAATCCTAGATTTTTTTATTTAGAATTAATTGGAGGTATTGTTTAAAATATTCAAAAATAAAAATAAATATTAAGAATTTTAAAATAAAAATTTTAAAACAGTTTCAAAAAGCATTTTCGAATTTAGAAAAAAAATTAAAAAATAAAAACAAATTCGAAAAAATTCGAAAAAGTGCAAATCTAAAGACATATAATTTATCAATTATTTATCTATTTCCATTTTAATCACCAACATGGTGAATTTTTGTGGAATTTTCTCTTACTTGTTTGGTGATATAGGTTACAATAGATAATTTTATGATTAGTTCCCTATTTATCTATTTCCTATTAAGGGAAAATTCCACAAAAATTCACCAACTATTTATCTATTTCCATTTTAATACACCAACTTTTAATGTTACCACAAATACACAATAACTAGTTTTTTTACCCATTTCAATACTCTAACTATTGGCCGTGTATCCACCATATACAACCTATCATTGACTTTGACTAACAGTACTATTCACACTGTTAGTAATGTAGTTAAGTTCCTAACTATGGTTAACTTTAAATCTGGAAAACAATTCTCGTATCAAAATTAACTTAATTAGCCTTATGAGAATATTTAATTTAAATCTAACAATTGGTGTTAGTTATTGATATCATTTAATAAAATAATTGTTAAACCAAAGTGACAGTCATAGATGGAAGAAATGCTAAATTCAGTTTACAAATCGAAAATAATCTTAACACAAAACTTAAATAATATGTCCACAAACTAGAAAAGACAATCATAATTTAAATCGTCAAAGTCTAAGAACTAGAAGAATCCAAAAGATAGCATAATAATAAATTAGAGTTGCCGTGGTCCCTGAGAATGTCCAAGTTCTCGTGCTTTGCTTCCTCTCACTTCAAACACCCGATCTGTGAAAGGACATGTGTAAATACCAACTCCCCTTGGGATTGATGGCTGTCTTCGGACTGGTGGACGACCTTGACCTCGTCCTGGCGGTCGGCCACGGCCATGTCCACGTCCCGTAGTTGAAGCAGGTGGTGCACTAGATGATGTTGGAAATGTAGAGGTCGCACCAGATGCAGTAGATGATGCAGGTTGGGAGTGAGGCACTGAAATGGAAGCTTGAGACTTAGTTGTTTTTTGTCTTTTAGGTGGAGGAGATGGGTTACTTTCACCATCAGCCTAAAATGTTTTGAGGAAAAAAAACATAAGATAACATGAAAATTTTAAGTAGCTGAGGAAAATAGTTACACTCACAGGTATCTTCCGAGGTCTTCCACGTTTTCGTTTTGGAGCTTCAACCATAGAAGATTGATTCTTACAAGTCCCTCTGTTATGTCCAATATGTTTCCAATTACTACAAGTGATAGTCCTTCCACCACGAGTTGTTCTATTGGGCTTTGATGGGGACTCATGAGTTGGTGCAATTCTCTTTTTCTTAGGACGTCCTGGCATCTTTCTAAATCCAGGGACTCCAATAGGTCCCTTACCAGTTTTATTCCAATAGAGCTCCCCATTGACTGGTCTGATGTTGTTTCTATATGTGTTTATCCACACTGGAGTTTTATAGTAGCTAACAACATACGTGCAAATATGGAAACCAAAGCACAATTCAGATTTTCTAGTAATTGACAAATACATCAAAGTTTTAAGTACTTAACATTATACGCTAATTTATCAAAGTTCTGAAAGAAATTTGACTTACTCTTCTGGTTTTCGACGAATGTCATTGATGACACAAATTGCATGGTTGCACGGTATACCAATGAGGTCCCAATACCCACAAGCACACGTTCCCATTCTTAGGCTGTCCTCATGACTTAAATTATGCACTAGAACCTCATACAAGTTATCACTACTTATCATGATTTGGCAGTCTTTGCTGTTTTTTTCTATTCACCTCTAAGACATCTGCTATTCTTTGTCGGAATTTCATTATACAGTTTTCTGCCCTCTTAAACCTACGAGAAATACGCATCATGGCTTGTCTTCTGATGGTTTCCAACATATTAATCAAAGGCAATTCTCTAGCCTTTTTGATAGTCCGGTTGAAGCTTTCTGATAGGTTGTTGCAAACATTAGCCGGCCTTCCAGTTTTTGAGAAGAAAGCTCGACACCAGTGTTTTGGTTCTGCAGCCAACAATGCATCATGCGCCTCTCTGTCATATAAAAGCAGCTCGTCCATGTGCAGTTTATACTCTCCTTTAGTGTAACTATAAGCCACTTTCCAGAACAAAGGCTTATAGTCAAGATCCCCAAACTTTTTCTTCCAATTTCCATACACATGCCTTGCACATACCCTATGCTCAACATTTGGGAGAACAGTAGCAAGAGCTATTTGTAAACCCTGCAAACAATATACATTTAATGGTGCTTAAAACAATTTACTTGAAATATTTTACAAGTTGTATTAGAAGTTAATATACATACCTTTTGCTTGTCTGAGTGAACTCACGTCGGTAGCTATCCAAAGATCACTGACGAAAGTCATTTTTAAATTTTTAATGAACCATTCCCATGAATCTTTGTCTTCGCCCCTTACAACAGCCCAAGCTATAGGATAAATTCTATGTTTTGCTTCCCTATCAACTGCTGATAATATCTCTCCCTTCAACTCCCACTTAAAAAAAACACCATCTCAACCTATCAAAGGACGACAACATCTCTTCCAAGTTCTTCTAAGAGGTTCAAAACAGACATAGAAGCGAGCAAATACTTGTTTACCATCCTTATCAACAGTCACAATCTCTGTAGTAGTGTCCTTGTTAGATCGCAATAACTCAGCTTCATAGTCCCACTACTTCGAAAATTGTTGCTTCTGAGTTTCCAGCACCATATCTAATGCAATCCTTCTTGCTTTTCTACACTTATAAATTGAAACCGACACGTTGTACATGTGCATCAACTCATCCTTAATATATGTACTTCTTATGTCAGGTCTTCTTCTCGCTTCCTCTTTAAACAACTTGGCAATGGTACCTTGTTTTAGCTTCCTTGCTCTTCCCGTAGGTAGGTGATTGTGCTTGTCTTCATAGACTTTAACCATCCATTTTCTGATAGGTTTCTCCACAGAACAATATATTCTCCAACCACATTTCGGCTCAGTGCATATTGCTGCTTGTTTTGTAGACTCCCACCTATTAAGCTTCACATCATACTGAGTTTTCAGAACATACCTTAACAATTGATCTTTGAACTCGTCTCCATTGTTAAATGTTTGCATTAGCCACAAGTATGAGGCTTGTCATAGTCATTCACGCTTCTTTTTTCTTTCCTACGCATATGTCTATCATCTTTCTTCTTAAAGTTTACCCACTCTTCATCAGTATCAACTGGAGAATCTGGATATTCACCAACCTCAGTTACATTCTCCTCTTCATGTTAACTATCTGAACTAGACTAACCACATACATTTTGGAGAGTAGTACCGTACCTTGTCATTGCTTCCTCTTCAGCATTTGCAAAGATATTTTCAAATCTAGCATCTACGGCTCCGTCACCTACAATTTCAGCTTCATCTTCAGAGGGCTGACCATCTATTTCATTAGCATGCTCCTCACCAGCATTTTCATTCTCATATTGGCTTTCAGACTCTCTGTTTTGATCATTACCAACCTCTTCATCATTGTTTTCTTCTTGACCTAACTCACCTTCAGAAACCTCCTCTTCCTCTTTTTCATCTTCTCTTTCATTATCAGCATCTTCACCATCATCTCTACCAGCCACATGTGCTTCTATATCAGAAGCATTGCCCAGAACTGGTGGAGACACACCATGCTCGATGTACACATAAACTTCCCCCATTTCTGCTACTTCTGAACACATCTTTCGGATCTCGTTGTCCTTATCTTTGTATATGCATCTTGCCACTGAAATGTTCTCATTCGGTAGTCTATACCAAAATTTCTCTACGCTGTTTGCAACTCCTTGTTTTTCTGTGAATTCCTGGAAAATCGACCCAAGTCATCAAATCTGGATCTATGCGATAATCCTTGGTCAACCTTCCACCGGAATAAGATAACTTATTCTCTTTAATCGACATCAACCCTCCATAAGTAATGTGCATCTTCATGAAAGGTTTCCTATAAATGCAATCATAGAAAAAATTATGAAAGTCAGAGTTTTCTCGTAGTAGAGAGAGACGACAACAAGAACGTTAAGAAAAATATATAGCAAAAGAGACTAAGATTCTTACCTCATTTTGTTTGATTTGTTGATATTAAATTACGATCCTCCTTCACAAGATAAAATTTGCTTCAGTCATCTTCTTTGATTAGATTTGTAAATTGGAATTTTTTAGGGTTTTTGAATTGGGGATTTTATATTACTGTCGGGACTCAATAGTAACTAGGATAATATTAAATGTAGTTAAGTATAATTAACCATGATTAATTTTTAACCAGATTTTAACACAGTAAAATGTGTCGTTAGATAAAGTCAAAGAATGATAGTGGACTGTACACGGATGATGGTTAGAGTATTGAAATGGTATCTAAAATAAATTGGAGTATAATTATGGTAACGCAAATAGGTGGTGTATTAAAATGGTAATAGATAAATAGTTTGTGTATTTACATGGAATTTTCCCAACAAGTAATTACACTTCTTAGATATCATACTCTATATTAGTTGAGAAGTCACTTAAGTTTATCATAATACAAAATTGAGAGAAAAAAAACAGAACATTGTAATACAAGACTAAAGTTACTACTCTATTAATATATTTTGTATTATATATGCATATATATATATATATTAATTGTTAAGTGATTTTTTCTTATGTGTCGATCATATGTGAACTTTAGAATTAATTCTCTTAATTTGATTGATTGTTGGTGTTTGAATTTTCATTTATTTAATTAAAAATTTAAATAGGAATCTAATTCTAGAATTACCTGATCTAATATATATTACCTAATAAACAATTAACCTTCTTAAATATCATATTATATATTAACTGAGAAATCATTTAAATTTATGATAATACAAAACTGAAAAAAGCAGAATATTGTATTAATACGAGACTAAAGTAAATACTCTATTAATATAATTCTTATAGCTTTGGTTATAATAGAATTATTTGGTAAGTCATTTAAAATAAAATTAATCAATGAATTTTTTAATTATAATATAAAATTTAGCAAAATGAAAAATTTATATTTTGTATTTTAATAAAAAAACTAAAGATTAATAGACTATTAACTATATTCATATATTTTATATAGCTTCGATTATAATAAAATTGACATGATTATTTTATTAATAAAAAAAGAATGGAGACATAAATAAACAAAACAAGTGAATAAAACTTGTTTTTTGTATTCTAAGTTATTTTTAAAAAAAATTTGAACTGATATAACAGTTGTATGAAAATTTGCAAGGAATAATTTCATTTAAAAAAAGCAGGGAATAATACTACTTGATTTGTAAATATTTGTCCCAAAAATATTGATGATTTTTGCTTACGTGACTTTTTATTATGTGTAAATAATTGGTGAAGTCTTGAGAAATATTTTATAATTTGATAGTTTGTTGATTTTTAATTTTAAGTTTAATTATTTTCATTAGATCTAAAATAATAGATAAGTGTATAACCAATTAATATCACCTGCCAGAATAATCTAAATGATATCACAAATAATTTTTTATGTAACTAATGGTCAAAATTATAGAAAGATTGTAATGTTTAATAAATTCTTGTATATTTATAAAGCATATATTTATATAAATCATTGTATTCATATATAAAGTATTATAATAATTATTAATACCTTATATTGTCCATATATTGTTTATAAATCACTAAGATTTAAAACCATTTATAAAATTATTTATCATGGCTTACAAAATCATTTTATCACAATTTTAAATTATTTATAAGAGTCTATTAATCATTATAAAAGAAAAATAGAAATTTTCATCTATTATATATAAATTGAGAAGTCACTCAAGTGGTTTTTGCTCATGTGTCACTTATAGGTGAATCTATAAAAAAATCATTACACTATTAAAAGTTCTAAATACTAGCATATGAGGGTGTCCACGTCCCCAAAAATAATTGACCAATAGAAATATTTTCTTATGCCACGTGTGTAAATGTTGGGCCTGCTTTTTTTTATATGTTCATGGCCTGTTAGATCCATAAAATAGAAACCCTAGGCATCAAGAGAAAGTAGACGGCATACCTTTCTCTTTCGTTTGTTTAAACCATTTTCAAATTCATTCAGAGATCCAATTCCCAAGCGTGAATGATGGTTGAAGAAGCAGCAGCAGCTTCAGCATCTGAAGCTTCGGTGACTGAAACTCCCGCAAACCCTAGAACCTAACCAACTTTGGATCCAAGCCACTGTCGAATCTGTTGTTTAAGGCGGCACTGAAACGTCATGCAACAACAACGTGGCGGAGAGTGCTGTGACTGATGACCTCTCTGAAGAGGAGCGTGAGAAGACTCTTGAATTCACTGATGAACTTGCTGAGAAAGGCTCTGTGTTCTTGAAGGAGATGGATTTCGCTGAGGTTGTTGATTGCTTCAGTCGTGCTCTCGAAATCAGGTATTTCGTATTTTCATTGAGATTTTGGCCTATTAGATTTGCAGCAACACTGATAGATTTGTTACTGAGATTCAAATGTGTGTGTTGCTTCGTATGGATTTAGGGTTGCACACTCTGGTGAACTCCCTGCTGAGTGTGTAAACGCTGCAAATATGGATCAGCTCTCTTGGAGAAGGCTCAAGCTGAAGCTGATCCACTTGGTAACATGCCAAAAAAAGACATTGAAACTAAGCAGGAGTCTAGCAATAAGAACACTGCAAATGGTGAACCTTTGATTGTATATGTTGTCTAAAGTGACCCAGAGAGACAAGGGAGTTCAAGTGGTGGCCAGGAAGGTACTGAAAAATCTGAAACTTTGGAATTCTCAATTTTATAGATTTAAATATATTTGACTGCGATTGCACTTACGTTCCTCATAAGCTTACGTATTGTGAAGGTTTCACATATGAATTAAAAAAATAAGGATTCTGCATCTTGATATTAAAAGAGATCTGACCCGAACACATCTGCTGCTGGACGCACCACTGGTGGTGCCACCGCGGATCTATTTGCCACTTCTGCAGCTGTTGCCGATGATGATGATCTCTAGAGTTAGTTAGATTATGATCACATCAAGGTAGTTATTCTTTTTTTTTTTAAGTTATGTTATAAGTTGTGAATTTCTAAACGAATGATGTCGAGGGAGATATACAGAAAACTCATTCGTAATAAAATTGAGCTTTTGTATTATTTCGCTGTTACTGTATTACAGTAACATAGACACTCACCACTTATTGGTTTGTTATTCTATGAAGCTTAATACAATTACATCATGTGAGCAATTTATAATATCGTTGGAACCTGGCACTGCTTGGATTTGGAATATTGTTTTTCCAACTCAAGGAAAATGTAGTGTATATTATTAAGTTTATTTACTGATTCTGTTTTTTGCTGGATAATTTGTTTTTTCTTTTATTATTGTAAGACTTTGAAGCTGTAAGTTTTGTTCATCCTCTCTACAATGTACTATTTCAAAGAACATCTCCTTCTCTCTCTCAAGTTAGAAAGTATTAATATTTGAGTGATAATGGTGATCCATGTTCTGTTTAGTTTCCAAAACGCCACCATTTTCTCTTCCTTTGTAACTCTGTTGCAGATATATCATGTGCAAGTGTAAAGGTATGTGTTGTAATTTCAATTTGTTAAACGTACCAAATAAAATAAGTACATAATTTAACCAGCTTGAAATATTAAGATAATATTTTACAGAAGCAGTTTTCGTAGACATTTTCCCAACAAACCACATAGCTCGAGTTATTTATCCAGAACTTCTGACATGTAAATTTAGATGAGTTAGGAATTTTCGGATAGCTGAAATCCGCATCTCATCGTCTTCTATGTAGTTTAAGACATGAGGATCCCATCGTTTATAAGCTCTTGGATTTTGCGAAAGTTTCTTATAAAGCAATGTTGAATGGACTGAAGCCGAATCTCTTTAGTGGAGGATGATAGGCAGACGAATTGATTCTGCTTCTGCTTTCAGCGGTGAACTGATTGGATAATTAGCCGTTTTTCTTGCACTAATATTTTTATATTAGTAGTTATCTCAGCCTCTCTATAAAAACTTACAGCAAACTGGTGATGATGTTTTGTTGAATAGCCCTGAACCGAGTATTGTAAACCGAATTTGGAACAAACAAAGTCCGCACCAGTTGTTTATTTTTTGCTAAATGTCCGCACCAGTTGTTGTGGTACTTTTAGGCTTACTTAGCTTATTATGGGGTTTATTGTGTTCGTTCAATAGATTGAAAGTCAGAAGTTTTGTTTCAAATCTTTTAAAGAAAACTTAAAAACTTTTTTAAAAAATTGATAAGTTAATACAAAAATATTGATTAGAAAATACAAGTAAAATTAAACAGAACAACTTTTTTGCTTAAAACGAAAGAAAATGGAAACTCTTAAGTTGAAAGCAAAACCCCAAAAATATGGTTGTGGTTTTTGCTTAGTTTAATTAGTAACTGGTAAAAAATATTGAGATGTAAGTTTTCTCAATTTAAATGGTGTTCAATTTGGTGAGAGTCTCACCAAAGTCTCACTGTGAGACTATGTGTTATGCAATGAGTATTTGTGTGTTGATGATAGGAGTTTTTAGATTCCTAGTCAAATGTTATAGTATAAAAGATATCGAACCAATTCTAAGTAATCATAAACCAATGGGATTATAAGACAAAGCTTAATCTAAATGCTATCAATATTGAGAGTATCAAATGATTCAAGAACAATTTAAAGAAACTAACAAGTAACAAACTTTTTCTCAATTAGTGAAGGCTAAACTCATGGGAATAGGTATATGGTTTAGGTGATCAAGTTTCAATCTAAAAATAGCAAGCCTTCAATCAAAATGTTTCCTTAAGTCTAAACAACTAAGCTAAGCAAGTTCTAGGTCTAGACAAATGCTCATTTGCTTTCATTAATCAAACACAAATGTTCATTGGCTTAATTAATGAAATCAATCATTAAGAGTAGGTTTAAAAACTATCTAAAACCCCTAGATACAAATGGTCATTGGCTAGGTAGTAATAAAGCTAGATGAGTTGGTTCAGACATTTAAACAAACACCTTGTGGGCAGAAAATGTCTAATGATCATGACTAAAGAGGCCAACATTAATCAAGCATTAAAATCACTCATCTAACAAGGAAACACAAGGATCTAACACCTAACACTTTAGATNTAGTAATAAAGCTAGATGAGTTGGTTCAGACATTTAAACAAACACCTTGTGGGCAGAAAATGTCTAATGATCATGACTAAAGAGGCCAACATTAATCAAGCATTAAAATCACTCATCTAACAAGGAAACACAAGGATCTAACACCTAACACTTTAGATCTACACTTAATCACCCTTACCAACCTATCCCATGAATCTAAAATGGATCTACTCACTAACACTCAGGATTAATCCAACAACAATGATTGATTGTTGGTTAAACATGATTAGAGATCAAGATTACTCAACAAACTCAAGAGAATAAGATGAAAAGAAAATAAAGTTATGATCTTTCACCAATAAGTTCTTAGGTTTTGAGAGAAAATACAAGATAAAACTCCCCAAAATGATGTTTAGGGTATTTATATTAATCCCAAAACAAGTAGGGCAAACTAAATAAAAAGGCTAAATAAACTTTAATAGCGACATCTTCATCCCGCTATGCATTTGTCGCTACGGCTTGATCACAGAGGATGGCTTCGTAGCGACATCATGAAGTCGCTACGCACAAGTCGCTATGACAGTTGGTCGAAATAAGCTTCGTTCTTGGAAACCCGTAGCGACAACACCATGTCGCTACGAGGGTCGCTACCAGGCTTCGATGGGTCTCATAGTGACTTGGATAAGTCGCTATGGCAATGTCGCTATGGTACTTCAGAAAAATGGGCTTCAGTCTTGAGAATCTGTAGCGACATAGACATGTCGCTACCAGGCTTCGATGGGTCTCATAGCGACTTGGATAAGTCGCTATGACAATGTCGCTATGGTACTTGAGCTTTTGACATGAAATGAGTGTAAATTCTCCATCTTGGCTCAAAATCAACTCCCATGTCTTCAGAAACACCAAAGAGAATCTCCAACACCTGAATCATGCAAAAGTGATGCAATGCAACCTAAATGTTCTATAAATGCATCTAGAGTCTAAAGATGAAAGCTAAAATGAGGCTTAAAAACATGTAAATACACAAGATATCAACTCCCCCAAACTTGTTCTTTACTTGTCCTCAAGTGAACATTTCAAGAACTTGTAAGAAGAGAGGTTTGAAGGTGGGAACTCATAACCAAAAGAAACACTTCTGAGTACTCAACTTAACATCCTAAGGAAACATAGCAAATAGCATGAACAAACTCTCTTATTGTACTCTAGCTTCTCTAGGCCTATCTTAGCACTCTTATGCCTTTAAACAAGATGCAATACTCTTCAATCAACAAGTTACTTCAACCAACTCTCACATTCATTCACACACACACACACAAGGTGAAGTCTCACAAATGGGCNTCTAGCTTCTCTAGGCCTATCTTAGCACTCTTATGCCTTTAAACAAGATGCAATACTCTTCAATCAACAAGTTACTTCAACCAACTCTCACATTCATTCACACACACACACACAAGGTGAAGTCTCACAAATGGGCAATTGATCTCAATCATTTGGCTTGGTGAGCAAAAAGGTTCAATGTGAAACAAAGGAGGTTCAAATGCATTCTTTTTATGGTGGCTTACTCTCAAGAATAGTAGCTAGGTCATTATGCAAAATTTATCTAAGAAAAGAAATTTATGCATACAATGACTTGTTCCCATCATTCTACCCCATTCCTAAATAATTCTAAGCTCATATCTTCTTCTTTCAAAGCCCCAAAAACTCAAAAGATTACACATCTTCAACACACACCCAATGAACACTCTTAACCTTTTGTTTTTAACCAACTAGGGATTCTTTCTAACACTTTCACACTTAGCTCTTAATTCCTAACTTACTTCTTCTTTTCATTGTCTATCCCAAATCTTTCTTTTCATTTTTTTTATGATTCTAAATGGATTTTTCTAAAGGATTTTAGAGCTTTCAAACTTCATTTTTCTCTTTTTTTTTTTTTTTTTTTTTTTTTTTTTTTTTTTTTTTTTTTTTTTTTTTTTTTTTTTTTTTTTTTTTTTTTTTTTTTTTTTTTTTTTTTTTTTTTTTTTTTTTTTTTTTTTTTTTTTTTTTTTTTTTTTATCCCTAGTGGTTTTCTTTTCTTTTCTCACTCTTTTCATTCTTTTCTTTTCACCTCTCACTCTCAAGATCATAATCCAACTTATAAACCCAAATACCATCCTAGGTGCTAGCCAAAATGAGGTCCTAATGCTAGCATAAGATAAGAACAAACCATTGTCGCTCCTAATACTCTCAAGATTTTGCACATGACTAGCTTTCACAAAAAGGCCTCACTCAAGCAAATAAATGTTGGCTTCAAGGAATGGTAAGGGTTTAAGGGTATGGAGGTGCCATTTGGGTTAACAAAGAGTGGTAAAATGGAATAAGATAACCCAAATTTGTATAATCCATGACTAAGTATGCAAGTGCCCATCTGCAAGAGAATTTAAGTTCATTCACTTCAAGTTCAATCTGAAGTTGGCTACAAGAACAATGTTAATCTCAAGCAAGCAAACAAGTTTTCAAGAAGAGTTTTCAAGGCTCGAAGCGTGCAAGGTTTTCAAGAGATGTTTAAGCTACTTGATATGTTTAACTAGGGTGTTACTTTGAGCCT